TGTTATTCCAAAGAGTAACTTCAAACACAAAAATTATTTTCTGTAGGACCGCTTTGTTTTTGGTGTAGAAAAGCAAATCTCTTTAAAGGGAGACTGGTATTGGAATGTAGCCTTTTCACAATTTTCATCTTAGACCCAAAGCAGAGACTTTGGGGATGAATGTTCTACCTGTGAAATTTTTTTGTGTGAATACCATGCATATTATTCTCATTGTTTTGTGTTCCTTTTTTCCCATCTAGATTTTTTTTTAGTATCATCTGCTCCTTGTCTCAGCCCCTCTCCTGCCATTTTTGCCAATATCCACTTTTCACCATGATTCTCTGAGATACTGAGATTGCTGTGAAGTGGGACCCTCGGTGACAATGCAGCTATTTCCTCCCTTATTTTTCATGTCTGGGGCCACCTAACATGCCCAAAGTCAGAAGTGGTGAATAGTCCAGTGAATTCCTTAAGCACTTTATATCTGATATAAGGTTTGGAAGGATAGTAATATTTTCTTGTTTATTGATTATGTAACAATCCATACATGATGCAGGTATTTTTGTGTATTCCCTGTTAAATGTGTGATAATTTATAGCTGTTAAGTGTAAGCTGATTGGCTTATTTTAAAATCCTGTTTCCTGTAAAGAAGAGTTAAAGCATAAATGAAGATCCCATACCTCTGCTCCTCATAATTATGGGATCTGCTGGCAAAGATACCCCATCTGAAAGAGATAAGTGTGGTTCCATTGCCCTACTTTTAAAAGCCAAATTGTTTTGGAAATAGTTTATACCTCAGAAAATTTTGCCTTGAATGTAGTTTGTGGTGGGAGAAGCACGAAATCGTGGCAGTAACTCCTGAAGGGGAAAGAATCACTTCACGTGTTGACATACCTTAATGTTTATTATATGATTACTTGTTTTAAAGAAATAACAATTAAAACTGGTAATGACTCATGCAGTTGGCTAGACAGAGCTTTCTTTAAATGCATGGAACTATTAATACTGAAAGTTTCTTCTCCTTGATTGCATTATATAAATCATAATTGTCATCTTGCATATGACAAAACAGGGTCAGTGCTTTTAATAGTTAAGGTGCCATTGAATATCACATCTTCATGTAGCACCAGTTTTTGACTCTGGTGGCATTTACAGCATCTCAATGAGTGTCTGGGCTATACTGTTTTAACTATGGCATTACATAGGTGGGGAGGGCTAATGAATCATAGATACTGATTTCCTATATGAAATGGCTTCTTTCACTTTGTTTTTTATTCTGATAACTGTAGCTAAAAAAGATATTCAACAAAATCATCTGCTTTTGAGGCTGCATTGGAAAAAGATAGTTTCCATAACTTTCTGGATTGTTATCTTCATTGAGGTGACTAGAGTTATTCTGTGCGTAAAAGAAGGGTTAATAAAAGAACGATGCCCATCTGAAGAACCTATGACTTTGGTAGATAGAAAGAATGAAATGGGGTGAAAAGAAAAGTGTGGTCGTAGAGGTGAGAGAATGTACTTAGAGGGAAAGTCTCGCTATCCCAGAGGATCACCCAGGACTATCCAAAAAATTCTGAAAATGAACCGTGCTTTATTACAAATACTTTATTACAAATACTTTATTACAAATACTATATTTGTAATAAGGTAATTACAAATAAATGTGCTTTGTTCCAAGTACTGTGCTTTAACTGGAAAATGGTCCTTAATTCTCGTATGCAAAAAGAAGTCTGGAAATGAGAAGGTATTTTAGGCTTCTCCTCACTACCCGCAAGGAGCTACCAGGTGGTAGACACTGATTTGCAAGTGTAACACCTTCTCATGATAAGTATTTGTACATATCCTTTGAGAAGTTGAAATTTATAAGCAGCAGTTATACTGTACAAAGGAAAATTATATTTGAAAGGCTGAATTAGGGTAAAAAAATTCAAATCCATAATGTACCTAAAAGCGATATGGTCAAGCTGGTGAAATCTATGATAATTTTTATGAAGAGGAAGACTCCCAAAATAAGTTATGTTTCAGTTTTGCTTAGCAAATTGTTGCTTTTTTGCACAATAGACCACTGCAGAATAAGTTGTACCCTTAGCTGGAGCACAGGAGCAGCTGGTCAGCACTCCTGCTGACCCACGGCAAAATCTGCTCTACTGTGGTAGCTTAACCTTGCTGATGGAGGGAAACCTGAAACCACCAATGAGTTTGTGACCTTAAGCTGGTTACAGCCAGTGCTCAGTGCTGACCTTTTAGACCTGATCCTTTCAGATTTTACAGAACAGAGTCTCAGACTGAAGTTGGCCTGTCAATGGACTTGGCCTGTCAATGGCAGAATGTAAACCAAATGCTTAAATATTGTTTCTCTTCAGTGTTTTATAGGCAAGGTAGACAGTTTGGAAATGTGTACCCTGCAACAGCAGCGTAAGCTTAGCTTTGCTGGCTTCAACAGTGCGCTCTGTTCAGCAGCCATTTGGAGAGAATGCTTTGTTTCTGTCAAGGAAATATTGGTATCGGTGAGAGGGAAGTGATTTATTAAACCCCTTGTCAGCTCTGGCAGGAGATGTGCTGCAGTTGCAGAACAGGCAGATGGGCAGGGTGAGCAGTCTCTACTTTTGCATTTCTCTGCAGTCCTCAGGCTTTTCCATTAGTGACTGTGGTGTCCATCCTGTGCATCCACCAAGGTGTTTGACTTCTGAGTGGGGAGCTGGTTGGTTGGGGAGCTCATCTTGGTTTTAGTCATTTACAATTTGGAAGTTGGCTATTATAAGATGATACTGGGGATTTTTATCCTACTCTGGATTCAGTCAAGTGGCCTGAAGGCTAGAGTGCCTCCCTTCAAAATCTAAATTGCAAACTATTAATGCTTCCAGTTACGACAATAGTTGCACATACTTACTTGGCCCATGTTAGACCTAGACATGGATATTTTTCCAGTGGAGAAAGAAATAGAAGCAGCATTCATGGCATTATTATCTATAATATATTTATAGCTGTGTATTCCAAATATTTTAATCTGCCACAGGCACCTTGTTAACCTGAAAGGAAGACAAGTACCACTTTGGAACTTTTTGTCCATATCTCCTGCCCCTGTTTTCTAGATCATAGGGTATCAAATGCTGAGAAATACTTATTACTGATTTATTTGCATCCATGTTGATTAAGCAACATGGAAGCGCTGCTATATTAACAGTGATTTCAATTTACATTATTTTAAAACATCTTTGTTGGTAGCAAGCATTGCAAGAATATGGAGGTGACAGTAGGAAGTATGTGGATACATACAGACATGGATACATGTCTGTGCATATGAGTTGTTTTAAGGAAAAGAAACCAATTAGTTTTACAAGATGACTAATTAAAAACTCCTTGTGCAGCAGCTGTTTATCTTTTCTTTCTGAAGTAACAAACCAAAATTACGTAATTGTCTTAATTTAAGCCTGAAAAAGAATTATCATTTGGAAAAAAAGGGGATATTTCATTTTCTCAAGGAAGTTATAACTTGGTGAAGTTCTAATCTTGGAGAAATCGCATTAGTGAGAAGAAATGCGAACCTTTGTAATGTCTGCTTTGTGACAGTAGTGATGTCCTTCATTAGAGTTGACCTGGTATATGATCATTTGGCCAGATGGCACAATGCAAGAAACATACTTTAAATTTTTAATGTAGAAAATAAATCTTTCATCTACTGTTACAGTGGATCATTAAAAAAAAAAAAAAAAAAAAAAAAAAAGCTAAACTACACAAGGTATAGTCACCCAGTATTTCTATAAACAATTGGAGTAAGTTGGATTTCAAGGCACAAAATGCCTCTGGAAAAATGGCAAAGAATAATTTATTTGAGACGTTTTTGGAGACACTTTGCTTTAGGAAGGAAGACTCCTGATTTAATGGTAATTTATTTTTTCTTTTTTTAATATTAGCTGTTTTAGGATAACAAGTTTTCAAAAATTAGTATAGATTATAGGTGCTTGAATGGAGTATTAAATTGTTTTTATATGAACAGTTCAATTGACAGCAAATGAACACTGTCTATCCTTAAACACATGCAAATGTCATGGAAAAAAGTACGTTTTAGATTACTTTGATTGTCTTAAAATTTAGAAAGTCTCTTGGGTCTGCCTGCATCACACTTCATAACTTTTCCCTGTAGCATGAAAGCTGAAATTATTTCTTTTGTTTCCAAGTAAAAAGTCAAGTCTCTTATGGGTGACAACAGAAACTGAGGCTTCCAACACAACCCCTCACCAACAGTGTAATTTAAAAAAATGTCATATGTATTGAAATGAAAACCAGAAACATGCATGACTGGAGTATCTAAAAGTGCTGCTCTGCTTGTTTAGTTCTTTTGAACTAACCACAGCACATTCTGATAGCTCAAGCAGCAAGTGTCAGTCTGTAGAGCTTGGTAGAGTTGTACTTCACAGTAACAAAGAATTGAACTTCTGTGCTTTAGTGTGCCATTAAGCTGCAGTCTCACGTTTCAGTGCCCGGGAATTGATTTACTGATTTGGTTTTCTGAGACATATGGTGATAATAATAATAACACTGTATAAGCATTATTTAAAAATATCATAATATACCGGTATTGAATCTTTGGAAAGCCAGCACCAGCCAGTGCATATACAAACTACCATCATTTATTTTAGTTTAGTCTCATCCAATTTTGAACAAATGGAAATCAATACTGCTTGTGGATATCTGTGGCTAGATTGGCGAGAGAAGTGAAGTGGCATTGTTGCCAAGAACACATTGTACAAGAAAACACAAATGTATGAATTTATGTATGTCCCTCTTTTGCCTTCCTTTTCCAGGATCTTTCAGTACATTGTACCAAGATAGGCTTTTAATAGTTATTATTGTGATGTGGGTGTCCCCTATGTAAAATGCATGTGTTGTTTTCAATTTTAACTTAGAAATAGAAAGTGAATGCTCATAAAGTTCAGTGCCTTTTTTGATGTTGGCTGGTGCATTGAATGATATCGACTTTAAGCCTGTTAGAGTCAACAAATGATGTTTTTTCTTTTCAGATATGTGTCACAAAGATGTCTACACGGAACTGCCAGGGAATGGATTCAGTGATCAAACCTCTGGATACAATTCCTGAGGATAAAAAAGTTCGGGTTCAGAGGACACAGAGTAGTTTTGATCCGTTTGAGAAGCCAACTAATCAAGTGAAGAGGGTTCATTCAGAGAACAACGCTTGCATTAACTTCAAAACTTCATCTGCAGGGAAGGAATCACCTAAAGTCAGGCGGCACTCCAGCCCCAGCTCTGTAAGTGCACTGTCCTGATACCTCTGCGTGGGCCACATGGTGGAATTAGGGGCACCAGATAAAGGTTTTCTTGCTTAAGAAAGGATTGTTTACTTGGAAACAACAAAGAAAAAGGTCATGGCTGCTATGAAATATGTTTTCCATATAGATTTGTAGTGTTATTAATGAAATAGGATCAGAAAATAGAACTTGAAAAAGAATGTGATTTATTTATTCCTTTCAGATGTTATTTAGGGTGTCTTACAGGATTTCTAAGCATTTTCCTCTCCTTATCCTGGTATGTCATTACAGCTGCTATAATGTTTATGCAGCAAATTTGTTTATTTGTGAAGAGGAATTCTTTCCTATGAAGTTTAAGAACCCACATGAATTGCCTTTTGAATTTTAAATTTCACTTTTAGAGAAACAGATCAGATTTGACAGATTTTGTTTACATTTTATAATTATCCTTTTAAAATCAAGTAATAAAAAATAACATTTATTTCCCTGTCAGAAATTCTGTGAGAGAGAGAGAGGGAAGAGAGATAAATAACAGACAAGGGTTTGGCAACACATCATAATAGTTTTATTCTCAAGTATTTTGAAAGAAACTAGATAAGTAAAATGTCATGTCTTTAGTGAGTAATGCCCATAACAGATTTCCCACAAAAGACCTTCAAAATTATTGAAAAACTATTTCTGTTATGCTTTGGGAAGAAAAATCCATAATAATGTGACCTTTGAGTTGAAAACTACAGATCTAAGTAGAATGGATGTAACACTTCAAATCTTATTTGGTGTGAAAAAATTTAAAAGGTTGATTGCCTCTTCTTTTTTCTTTTCTTTCTTTTCTTTGTTTTGCTCTATTTTCTGGAGATTTCTGTCCTCCCTACAGAAGTTTGACTGAAGCCTGTCAGACTTCTGATGAGAAATGGCAGGAGATTAATTTTCTGTAGATGAACTGTGTTTAACCCATGTGAATTTAGCGGGTAAGATGTCACGCCTCCAGGGGACTGTCCTTTTTAGAAAAGGTTACATTTTAAAATGTAACCATCTGTAGCAAAAACAAATTTGCTTTTTTTACCATCACTTGGCATTATATAGCTGCTGCAGAAGATGTCTCTAGTGTATTCCATCTGAGTCCATAACAAGGAATTCTTACCATAAAACTTTTACAATCAATAAGAGTGGAAGAATCTATTTGCACTGTGTTTACTTGTTTGTGATGCCTGATTATTTTTTGGCACCAGAACTATTAATTGAAATGACTTTTTTGGGGAGATCTTAAGTATTTTGTGGTATTAACTCACTCCTCATCTCTGCTGTTCCTCTTAAAAGCTATTACTATTTTCTGTTTATGTTTTTGACATTGTTTTGTTAACACTGAAAGGTTTCAGTTGCTTTGTTTCCAGAAATTTGAAGCAGATATTTTTGAAAATGTGTTTTTGGTATCTTGTTCTTCTCCAGAAGGCTGGCATTCTACTGCATCCATACGATCTCCTATGCTCCCAGTATTTTTCTATGTAAATGACAATAATGCTTCCTCTACTAGTATGCTGCTGCTCAGAGCCACAGTTAAACATATGATTTTGGTAATCTTTGTTCACGGTGACTCACACAGACTTACTGAATACAGGAGGTGCAAAGGAATTTCTTGAAATACAATCCTTATTTCTCAACTTCCCAACTTCCTGTAATTCTCTCAGATTTTTATAGCTCTGTTTGGTGAACTCAGTTCTTCCTTTTGCTTGGAGACATTGTTAGTAATTTTTGACTTTTCCTCGCATGGAGGAGCATGGGGAGTAATGAAAGTGTTCATGCCAATGAAGAGGAAAGAGCAGTTCACAGCAAAAGGTGATGTTAACCCTCTGCTGATCAGGTCACACCTGGTCCTGCCTGGCAGATCTGAGTTCAGCATCCAAGGCAGAGACAAGGTCAAGATGCTTTACTCCCATTCCCAGAACCTGAATACATGGCTTCAGGCAGTAGATGGCCTGATGCACATTTTATTGAGTGATACCCATGTGGTTAGTTGCAGAAATGTATCATTCTGTGGTTTTGAATTATACTTGAATTAACAAGGGGTTTAGGGTTTTCTAGCAGATGCCCTTGCTACTTGCTCTTCTGATCATTACATCTTTTTCTTCCAAGTCAGCTGCATATTCTCCTTTACAGAGTTCATACTTGGTTCTCTGGAAGTTCTCCTCTTTATAGTTTATACCAGTCTGAACAAGCATTTCAGTTTCTGTAAATATTCTTGAACATGCTATGCCCTCTGGGTCATATGGGCTATAGCTGTGGAGTTATTTCTCAGTTTTGGCTCTGCTTTCTATAAGCTTTATTTTAAGATATTCTGATAGAGATATGCTACCTTCAATTTTCTCCTTCTATGTTTGATTAGTAGGGGAACTGAATTAGAGACAGGTTTCCATTTAGTTTTTTTCTTTCATCATTTGAAGTCCTCTGTAGCGGTCAGGTGTGGAAATGATCTCTTACAGAAGGTACATGGCTGAGGCTTGAAGTCTCCATATCACTCACTGCTTCTGCTCAGGTAAAAGTCCTTTATTTGTCTCAGAAAAATAACATTTTTCAAGATGTGACCTGAAAGACCTTGTTTATAATGCCCTGGGGTGTCAGTTTCAGTTTTGATTAATCTCAGCAGCTTTATCACCTCTTTGACAGGTATCAGTTTCAGTGTTTGGTAAAGATTACAAAATACTCAGCAGGTGGTGTGTTGCCCATTTTGTGTTGTCCATACCTTTGAAATGCAGTGCACTTTGTGATGAGAAAGATGAAACACACACAGAGGTTTGGGGAAGCTGGAGCTCCTTGATCCTCACACAGATTGTCACTTGGAAAATAAATATCTTGCTTTTGAACTTGAAGTATTTTTCTGCAGTTAATGTCACACCTCGTTGAAACCTGGTAGAATTCCTGTGTAGTTAATTAGCACAGTAGCATACAGACAGAATGTAGCACTTTTTGTTTGTTTGTTCATGTACAACAAGAATTTTTTAAAAATTTTTGCACTTAGAATCTTTCCACTTTCTCTACTTGCTTTGGACATAAGAAAACATCTATGAGAGTGATTTCCAAACTGCTTATGTTGATTGAAATTGTATGTTATTATGGGATTAATTTTCCAGCAAAACAGAATTATTCCTTTATTACAACAGAGTAGTGGATAACCTGGAGGTAGCAAAGTAGGCATTTGCCTACCTGTGCCTTTGCCTGTCAGCCACTGTTATAAGGGAATTTGGCTTGACAAACATTTTCTCCAGTCCATCCCAACACAATATTTTTTTTGTGTGTGTTTGTGTGTGTGTGTGTGTATAATATATATATAGCTATAGCTGTGCATGCTTATCCATCCCTCTCTCTCTCTGTCTATATCTATCTTTCTAAAAATCTCATGCCAAGTCCTTTGTCTACCAAGGCAAGGAAATTATTTTCTTTTCTCCTCAAATGAAGAAAAAGGTAATACTACATAATAAACTAGACAAAATAAAAAAAAAAATCACAGCTGAAAAGCAAACATGTGCCACTCTTCCCCAAACATCTGGATTTAAAAGATGGCTTGACTCTAATTATCTGAAAATTTTACTTGAGATCCCTGCTCTTTAGACACATTATCAAATTCTCCAGTGAAAGGTAAAGTTTTGGTGTATTCAGAGTACACATTTTATACAGTAAAATAGTACTTTTGTACCATATATAAATAGAATATTGCAAGCTGTATAAAGTAGCCATCTGCTCAAAGATTTAGTTATGTAGTGATACACATCAGTTTGTTCTCCTTGAATAGCTTAAGCTCCCTGGTGGTGAATTTAAATGTCAAGCAAAGGTATATGTTCCTACCTGTCAGTTACTTTTTAAAAACAAAATAAAGCAAAACCCTAATGTTTTACTAACTCAGAAAAATGTAAAAACCCCAAACATTCAAATAAAAATAATTGCAATAACCAATGTTTTACTGCACTGACTGTACTCTTTTTGGAGAGCAGCCTTTCTTCTGTTCCTGTAACTTTTATTAATTTTCAGTCCTGATACATGCAACTTTCTGCCAAAAAGTACAAGCAAAAAAGCATGAATCCTATAGTGATCCTACTGATCCTGTTAGAACATTGAAAGTAAGTTGTGTAAGAAATCTAGCTTAAAATAGACACTAATGTCAGGATTTTCTCCGAAAGTTAGGATTCATTTCTGTCTGCCCAAATAAACACTTGTTGTGCCAATCTTGCCTCTTTTGCTATCCAGAGGTAGGCAACCTTCTCCAGTTAGGAACCTGTTAATTACTAGGGTAACTGCATCCTTCCTGGTTGATATATTTTATGGAGGTAAGGTAATTTCAGAGCTCGGTGTAGAGTCGAGCGTTCTTTACTGGCACAAAGGAAAGCGTTAATAATTGTTAACCTGAAGGATGCTCTCAAGATGAAAAGGCAGATAAAATGTGGCAGCTGAGCCAGCTCCTGTGCTCTAATAGCCTGGAGAACAAGTGAAGAGCTTTAAAAACTGCACCCTTCACACAGAACTCTATGGTTGCTTCAGCCCAGGTCGCTCTTAATTTATGGCTGTGTGTTAAAGGGTTAGAAAGATGCAAGCAGCAGAATGGGATCAGAGAGTGGGAGAACTGAGGCTGAGGCTTGGTTTGAATGCTTGAACATATTTGTATCCCTTGAACATTGCCCTACAAAACAGTCCAACTTTCAAGATATGGTCAAATTGGCCTATTATTATAGGTTGGAGGCAACATGCAGTTAGTGTGAAAACTGCATATGGTTTTGTGAAAGAAGGTTTACTCTTGTGACAAAAAAGACAAAATGGTTAAAAAATAATTATTATTGTTCATTTTTTGTGATTTAATCCCAGTTGAGCTTCTTGGCCTGTGTTTTTCTTTCAAGTTTTTCTAGCAATCCAATTTTTTTTTGAGGTGTATAACAAAGCAGATATTCACTTTTGATTTTCTTTAATTTACAAAGGTACTGTGAAAATAATATTTTTCTCTTAATGACAGTTTTATA